TTATATCTAATTTGAATAGTCCAGATTTAAAATTTTAAGTTAATTATTTTTAAATATAAAAAATTATTTTTTGAAAGAGTGATAGTTAAATATCTATTTTAGATTCTATACATATTAAAATAATTATTTTGAATAAATATAAATAAAAAAAGAAATCAAATCCGGATCATTCAAATAAAACATAGACATTCTAGATCTGATGAGTTTAGGATACTCATTAAAATAATGAATACTGAAACTGGTTTTGGGTCAGTTTGGTTTTCAAACTGATCGGGATATTTCAGTCCAATTATAAACTTTTGGAAACTAAGAAGGTGTTTGGTAACGTGAAAAAACACTTTTGAAAAGTACTTTTCTGTAAAACAATACAAACTCCTCCATATATTTATTTTGTATACTGTAAAAGTACTTTTAAAACTATAATTTGTTTTCTGTCCAAACATCCTGAAAGATAAAGCTAAGCCATATCTCGTCTATGATCCATCAAGCTCTATCAACTGACCCCACTAGCTCCCTGGCCTGCCCGTACTAATTAAATTAATTGTTGTATGATTTGTAATAAATATCTCCTCTGCTACCCAAAATCCCATCTCTCAATTTAATGAAAAACCGCAGAGATCAAGTGATGAAAATCAGGAAGAGATCCATACCGACGGTGGCAGTTCTGAAGGTGGAAGTTCCATCATCGAAATTCAAACTTCCAGTGATGATCGTCTTATCTTTACCATCACCCACAAGCATCACATTCTTCTTCTTGGATCCAATCTCAACATTCTCTTTATAAACTCCCTTCTTCACATGTATAACATACCTCGTCTTACTGTTATCAGGTGCCGCAGCCACGGCCTCCTTCACAGTTTTAAACCTGCCACTTCCGTCCTTGGCCACCACAACGTTAGCATTTATATCATTCGCAGAAGCCTCCAGAAGCTTCCTGTCCTTACTGGTCACCCATGAGGGAAATTCTCCATTCAGTGGCTCCTCAATAGTTTCAGTGTTAGAGGGCATGACATGAACAAGCATGGCTAGGGAGGTTCTGGCTCTGGAGACCAAGTCGTTGAGCTCAGACTCGATAAGGGCGCGAGCGGAGCCTGCTCCTTCTAACTCATCCAAGCAAGTGACGTGGTTAGTGAGGACGGTGCTGAGCCATGTGTGAGCATCCTGGTAGGATTTTGTGGTGTTCTCTGTAAGAGCCACCACCGAGTCCCAAACCCTATCAAGGGACGAGTCCAGAAGTTGCTCACAGACAAGCAGAGCTTGCTGCTGTTTTGGATCGTTGATTCTGTATTTGATGGCTTTGGTTGAGTCCACAGTTTTCTGAATTTGTGAGGTGGATTTGCTCAGGAAAGATTGAAGCAATTTGGAGTTTTGGTGGTCAAAGGTCGAAGCTTTAGTTAATTCAGAGACGTGGGCAAGGCATGAAGATCTGTGAAGGGCATGATCACATAGATGATGATGAGGGGGAAGAGAGAGGTTGAAGAAGGAGGAGGAGGGTGTGAAGAGATAAGAAGCAAAAAGAGCAGAACTGACGAGAGCAGCTAGAGAGAGAAGAAGCCACATGGTCCTGGAAATGGATTTGTTGGGTTTGTGAAGGAGAGATTGGTGGGAGGCAGCCATGGTTGAATGATTGGGGTGGCACACGTTACTCAGAGGCAGTGTTGCTTGCTTTATATAGAGAAGCAAACTTGCATGTGTCAGGTTGGTGAGTGGAGAAAAAAGGGGAAATTGCAAAAAAAGACCTTGGAATTGCAAAAACGCAGATAAGGACCCTTGACAACTTCACTTTAGGTTTTGACCTTGTCAAAACCTAAAGTGAAGTTGTCAAGGGTCCTTATCTGCGTTTTTGCAATTCCAAGGTCTTTTTTTATAATTTTCTCAAAAAAAATGTGCGACATTTATAATTTTTTTAATTTTTATTTCTTGAGTTTTAGTTCTTGTGCTGTGTAAGGTTCACTCGTAGTCAATATAATAACTCAATACAATATAAAACTGTGCTTCGTTAATTCTTTGGTACTACTTCATTGAAGTTAAAAAAAATGAAATTATTTGGCCTTTGAAATACTTTATTTTAAAAGATATGTGTTGTAGAAATTTTGCCCGCGGTTTCTGCTTTTAAAGAAGTCAAAATATTTACATATTCGACAATGTCGTCTAAAATACTTAACATTAGCTGACAATCTGACATATGGGGTCTCTTTCATGTTAAAATGACAATCTGACAATGATGTTGAGTGCACATTCGGAAAAACAACTGAGCTTTGTCCAGAATGGCACTGTGGTTATACTAAAACCCAGTTTCAATGATTAATATTTTAATAAGCATTTTAAAATCATCAAATTTAAATATTTTATATTTTATTTAAATAGTTTGGATTTGATTTCTTTATTTTTTTTATTTATTTAGAATAATTATTTTAATATGTATAGAATATAAAATAGAGATGATCTCTTAACTATCATTCTTCTAAAAAAAATAGTTTTTTCTTTTTAAAAATAATTAATTAAAGATTTTAAATTTGGACTGTTTAAATAAGATCTAAATAGTCTAAATCTGATAAATTTAAAATACTCATCAAGATAATAAGTACTGAAACTAGTTTTGAGAGTTCTTCTACGTGTTCAAAGTTACCTTTATTTGACTCCACTTGTCGATTTATTAATTTATTAAAATTTTATCTTAATTTATGAAAAATTATTTGAACCCTTTGATTGGAAAAAAGAAAAATCTGGACAGTGCGGGTACAATAATTGGTGCGGGTACAATAACTGGTGATGGTAAGGCCACAATATACACGTGCCACGAGTGGAATTGTACGTATATAAGCATTGAACTTTAATATTTGGTATATATCACAGCAAGATCTCGAGAGCTAGCAAAAGTCACAAGAGTCTGCTCGATCTCCAAGAGTTTTCCGTTTGTTTTTTTTTCCTTTTGGTCTCTACTGTCTTACGTAGATTCTCAAGGGCACAAAAATTTGTTATTATTATTTAATAATAACAAATTTTTTCACATTATTAAGTGCTAAAATCATAGGACTAGGATCTAGGCCATCTAGATACGTTATCAATCTTAAAAAGACATGTGATGTTAATCGGAGTTCCCAATTGTGAGACAAGTTTGCTTCCCCCTCCCCCGTCATAAAAATATTATTAATTCAGATCTTTAATATAAGAGTTAATTGACTAATTTGAGTAAATTAAAAAAACTCGTTAAATTAGTTATTTGTAATAAATAGGTATTGTTTTTTTAGAAATATTTTTGCTAATCAAGTGTTTTGGTTAAAATTACTATTATTACAGAATGTATTAGAAAAAATGAATAAATATGAGAAACCAAGTAGAATGGAATCTTATATTTAGGATCAAAATAAAAGTTCAACTAGATTTTATATTAATGACTGGATGTAGTATAATTTTTGCTAGGGTTAATTCGAACTTTAATCCCTTAAATTTGTCCTTATTTTGGTTTTAGTCCTTTAAGTTTCAAATCATAGGTTTTGGGTCCTGAAAGGGCAAAATGGTTCAAATTTTTTTTAGATTATAGGACCAATATTATATGGTCCCAGTGTTATAAATTAAAAGAACTTTAAGGACAAATTATTTAAGAAACTAAAACCAAAATAAGACCAAATTGAGAGAAATAATTATTCGTTATTTTGGCCCAAACTCTGTTTTTGGTTATCCTTTTGAAAAGAGGAACGAAGAACAAATACTAATGTCAAATTGAAACGGAAAGATTCAGAATTCAAAAGGAGAATTCTATAAATTAAAGCAAATACCACGTCTATGGTAATATAGATAAAGAAAATGAGGAACACAATAATGAAGATGCTCCAATACGTAATTATACGAGCAAATCCAAAAGACAAAAACCCCTCCAACTTGTAAAATATAAATATATATATATATATAATTTATAAGGGTGCTTAATTATATTGTGGCCACAAATACTATCATAGTACTCCGCGTGAAAAGAGAAACCAGACTTTTCCTGCCACGTTGTTTCTGTCGGATGGTCCCCGTAAAATGCTGTTTTTTTCGGTAGTGTCTTTTTCTGAGATATTTGTGATCACGCTTGATTTTTATTGAAAGATAGTGAATTATATAGTTCTATATTTTTTAAATAAATTTTTTTTATTTTTCTTGTTTCTATATCTCGTCAACTGTAGCAGTACTAGTGTGAAGATCTGAGCAGAATTTTTTAATGGAGTTCTAAGCAAGAGCAAGAAACATAATTATTAAAAAGTATCAATGATAACAGAATAGCATATAATAACAAGTTTTTAGATAGTAGTAAATAACAATTGATCACTTATCATTAAAACTTGCTGATAATTATTTCTGTTTTTGAGACCTCAATGTAACTCTGTTTTTTTAAAAAAAAAAATAAATGTGTCATATTTTTTTCCTTCAAAATATCCCATTTAAAAATGCGAATTGTGACCATTGCAAAATTGAAGTGGGGAAGTGTTTGCGTTTGATAAAAAATCGACCAACTATAGCTTTTTCCTTTGTTCGTCTTCAAATTGATGGTGTCCTCATCTCTTTTTATTTGTGTTTACAGACGCGGAGTGGAGACTTAAGTGACTATAAGTTCAGCAATATTATGATTGTGGAGGTATCAACGTCAGTCTCTTCAAATGTCAGTAAATGACTAAGATAAGAGGCTCGTCCCACCAATTGCATAGCAATAGCTTCCTTTGAAGGAACAAAAAGAAGTGGTTTGTGATCATCAAAGTTGGAAGGTAATAAAAGATGAAGCAACCGGAAATAATGTTACTTTAATTTATATCTGATGCTCCCCAGACTCTTCCCAGCTCTTTCTGATTGAACTCAGATGATTGTTCAGCGGAAATTAAACAACAACGTGCAGAAGGCAATAATGAAAAGCATGGATTAGAGGCTCAAAAAATTTCAGAGGGTCCCAACTTACCAAACTTGGAAGCAGCAATTAAGCAAGGCTATTAAACCAAAACCAACTCTTTTGACTTGGAGTTTTGTTATTAAGGTAAGATGAAATTAATTTATTTCCAAAACATGATAAGTTACGTTACGCGGCCATTACATGAACTCACCGGGGAAATTCGATTATCATCTTCATCACCAATACATCACCACTACAGTACCAAGTTCTTAAAACTAGCATAAGCCCATGGAAGAAACATGCTCAAAGGTTTAAAACGCAAGAAGTGATCGATCTATAGTCCTTCAGTGAAGGCGACCCCAGTGTCCTTCAACCAAGTTCCTCCTTGAATGAGCTGAGCCACTGTGAATTTGCTAGCCTCAGCGGCACTTGTAATCACATGAAACCCAGGCCATTTCACTCTCTTGGAAGTCCCAGCACCAGGTCCTTTGTTCATGTACTCTCCATAATACAGATTCTTCAGCGTGGATTGCTTGTCGTCCCATGGAGCCCATCCTGATGGGTCAATATGGCTATCCAGGAATGACTGCATCACGACAGTTCGAGAGAATTCCTTCCATGGACGACCCAGAAAGGTTTTGACTGAGCCCACGACGGGCTTGAGATCGGAGCTTGGTGTTAGGTTACATTGCTGGATGGAAGTTCCTGTGTTCTGGTTTGGGTCTTCGCGTCCTTGAGCTGTGACCATGTTGTTCTGTTTAGCCTCTGGCTTTCGGGCCACGAGGTTGCACTTTTGGAACACAACTGCGGCGTTGCCGAAGATGAAGTCGACGGTGCCTGTGATGAAGGAGTCACGGTAGAATTGCCTGTTGGAGTGGGCGTAGAGAGTGTCTTGGAAGGCGTCGACACGGCAGCGATTGATGACGGAGAGGTCGGCGCCGACGCGGAGAGCCACCGCTTGGTGCTTCTGTGGGCCTGCCGTGTTCTGGAACCATATGTCTTGGCCTATGAATCCATCCCCAACCGCAGCTGCAATACCATATCAACATGATGTTAATTATTAATGTTCAGGAAGAAACAAACAAAACCTCATTGATCAGTTTTAATGACGCTATAGAGTATTAAAATTTTCCCTACTTACACCCTAGTTTTTGTTTTGATTTCGTCGTTTTAAAACGCTGGGATTCATTGTCTCTTCTCGTTCACCTAAATAAATTCATTTCAGCCAACAGAATTAATTAAAAGCCTAAACGGCGAGTAGATGCAAATCTATTTGAGTACATTGGTTGGATCTGCAGAGATAAAGCCGTGGACTTTTGTCGTTGCTGTCACTCTCTCTCTCTCTCTGTGGATCTGCTTTTTTTGACTTTCTAGATAATTAGAATATAAAGTTCTTCAACATAATACATTATTGTTATCTTTTAAACCTACCGCACTAAATTCAATATCAGCTGTATATAAGCAAGCCCCACACCCCCACTAATTTTTTTTTTCCCCTTTCAAAGTCTTATAATTTTACTTCAAAACAATGAGCTCAAGCTCATTAAAACAGTGGGCATGAAGTGAATAATATGACAAAAGGTTTTGGGATCCGTACCGACGGTGGCAGTTCTGAAGGTGGGTGTTCCATCGATGAAATTCAAGCTTCCAGTGATGATAGTGGAATCCATACCATCACCCACCAGCATCACATTCTTCTTCTTGGATCCAATCTCAACATTCTCTTTATAAACTCCCTTCTTCACATATATTACATACCTCGTCTTACTGTTATCAGGTGCCGCAGCCACAGCCTCCTTCACTGTTTTAAACCTGCCACTTCCATCCTTGGCCACCACAACGTTAGCCTTTATATCATTTGCAGAAGCCTCCAGAAGCTTCCTATCCTTACTGGTCACCCATGAGGGAAACTCCCCATTCAGTGGCTCCTTAATAGTTTCAATTTTAGAGGGCATGACATGAACAAGCATGGCTAGGGAGGTTCTTGCTCTGGCGACTAAGTCATTGAGCTCAGACTCTATAAGGGCTCGACCTGATCCCTCTAGCTCATCCAAGCAAGTGATGTGGTTAGTGAGGACAGTGCTGAGCCATGTGTGAGCATCCTGGTAGGATTTGGTTGTGTTTTCTGTGAGGGCCACCGCAGAGTCCCAAACTCTATGAAGGGAAGAGTCCAGAAGTTGCTCACAGACAAGCAGAGCTTGGTGCTGTTTTGGATCATTGATCCTGTGTTTGATGGCTTTGGTTGAGTCCACGGTTTTCTGAATTTGTGAGGTGGATTTGATCAGAAAAGATTGAAGCAATTTGGATTTTTGGTCGTTAAAGGCTGAATCTTTAGTTAACTCAGAGACGTGGGCAAGGCATGATGATTTGTGAAGGGCATGATCACAGAGATGATGATGCAGAGGGTGGAAGAGGTTGACGAAGGAGGAGGAGGAGGGTGTGAAGAGAGTAGAGGCAACAACGGCTGAGCAGCCTATGAGAGCAGCTAGAGAGAGAGCGAGGAAGATGGTTCTGGAAATGGATTTTTTGGGTTTGTGAAGGAGAGACTGGTGGGAAGAAGAAGCCATAGTATGGCAGGACGATGATTCTAGTGTTGTGTTTTGCTTGCCTCATTTGGTGCTTATTTATAGAGAGGCGAAGCATGAAACGCACTATGCAGAAAAGATGAAGGAAGGCCTCATACGATATAATATACTTTTTTTTTGTTCTTCTAGTTTTTCTTCACATGTCTTTGAAAGAATATTAAATTATTATCTCTTCTATAAATGGAAAAAAGATATCTGATTTAATTATATAATTATAACTATGAAAATATGTATACTACTTTTATGTGAATATTTTATCTGAAAATTTTTTATGAAAAGAATATGGCGTGTTAGGTGAAGTGGATCACGATTGCATCCAATAGAGATCGATTTGGCTGCGATGTTAAAATCGGAACGGGTATTCTGAAAATTGCTGTTTTTTCAACATTTGAATTCTTTGAAGTGGAAAATTTTAGCATTCCCAATTTGCTGAAAGTAAAGAAATTTCTCCTTCATCAATCATGCTTAATTTTTTAATATTTCCTGATCCTAATTCTAAATATAAAGTATATTTAAAAGTTTTTTTCGTTGATCCTAAAGATAATTATAAGGTCCAATTTTAGCTCGTCTCTTATATTAAATATTTCTTTCTTATAATATTATTATTTCTTTCTTTCAATGAATGTAAGGAATAATTTTTTGATAATTATTATGAATTCTTTACATATTAATTACATATAATTATTTTAAATATTTTTTATTGTACGAATTAGTTGAAAGAGAGTTACATGGAAGTAATAATTCGGTTATCCATTAATTAGCACAATCCTTATGTAATAATAGAACCTCCACCTTGAATTTGATGAATCATCGGACGCATGCACAACTTGAAATTGTCAATAAGTCATATTTTTTTATGAGAGGGTAAGTGTGAGAGAGAGAGAAATAGTGAAAAAAAATGAAAGAGAATATACGGGAAAAAAAAAGATGATGAGAGGGAATGTAATTAATTAAAAGTAAAATTGGTTAAAATGTACTTAATATTTAGACAACCTCAAATTGAATCATATAATAAAAAAGACCAAACTATTTTAAAAAAGATTAGAATTTCATAAATAGAAGCGAAGGGAGTATTATATCAAAAGTCTATTCTATCCACGGCACAAATCTTAGTCATGATTAGTACTATTAGATTAATGATGTATGTGGAATAATTGTGAGTAGCCATCAACTTGACAAATTTTATTGTTTTTTTTTTTCCATATGCACTCGATATCTTGGTTAACCCCTTAGGGAATCACAAACCAGATTAATTTGGATCAAGTCATGATAGGACCCATATAGGCAGCAACCCTACCACCTACACTGCTAAATTCCCAAAGGGGCAAATCTATAACTTTTGATTAAGTTAGAACAACTCCTATCAGTTGATCTAAATGATCAGTGATCAAATTTTATTGTTTTTTTTTTCCACTAGTCACTACAAAAGTAGTGATATTTTCACATTTTTCTTCTTTTCTAAAAAGGGGGCAACGAAATAGTCCTCCAAGGCCACATATGTCCCAAGGACATAACTTATTTATTTTCTAATTAAAATATCCTGGAGATTAATTAATATCCTGAAAGTGGCAATCACGTACCCTTGTTTGTCCGAAATTGAAAATCCACAACTTGGTATACTTTTGTGCTAATCAGGGGACCATTTCGTTGTCTTCCACGTGAAGAAAGCTGAGGAACCCACCAACTTGTAAATTTTTAATACTATGCCTAAATAAATTAAACCATGTTTACTTAATACTACTCAGTGTCCAACATTTTTAATTCCATATTCTGCTTAATGCCATCTGCGGATGTCATATTAATTAATCATTCGCCCTACTCACGTGGTATGTTTAATATATATAATTAGTATGACACAAACTAATAAATTAAAGTCTTATACTATCTTCGATCCTATTTATAAGAGCTAGTTGACTAATCTGAGGAGATTAAGGAAAAAAGTTAAGTTCGTTATTTATAATAAATAGGTGTTGTCCTTCCTAAAATATCCTTACCAATCAAGTGTACTGATTAGAATTATTATTGTTAAAAAGACTATCTTGAAAAAAATACATAAATATGAGAGACAAAATGGATTAGGGTCTCAGAACCAAAATAAAAATCAAATAAGGTCTTATATTAAAGATCGGGGGTAGTATTTAAAACTAAATTCAAACCCAACTAGTGCTTATATTTGGCATGAGAAGAAGTAATATATATGAGATTTTTTTAAGTACTCATTCACTACTTTTTATTTCTTTTTTATCATATTATATTTTAATTTATTTACATATTAGTGGTGGGAGATAAACCTTGGTTGGGTTTGCGTGCAAGTCTTGGCCCAAGCAACATTTCTGAGAAAGGATTACAAGGAAGAAGAAGAAAGCCCAATGACAAGACAAGAAAAAGAGGAGCAATGAAGAATCTTTTTCAAATTGCTAAAAAGATAAATAACGGATGCAGTGGAGAATATGAAGCATTACGCTTTCTGGTCACATTCCCAGGAAGGCATCACAGAAAGGAAACGAAATCACAATATTGTGATTCCCAGAACTCTAAAGGAACAATCACAATTTTTTTTCTTTCCCAGAAGACAAATAACAGAAGCAGAAGCAGCTGGCACTGTCAATGACGAATCAAACTTGAAATTAACCGTAGCTGAGACGAAATATATCATTCTGCACATAGAAGCGTCCTTCTGCTGTTGGAATCAAATGAAACATCTGCAACCATCACAATTCCCCAACTTTCTTCAGTTTCCTTTCTCAAATAACTTCTCTGTCTATGCGTCTATTGCTTTTGACACATTGAACTGTACATCCATACATACGTACACACACACACACACACACACAGAGGTAATATTGAAGTGTAACTTCAAGCATATATATGATGGGAGATATATGATGTTGATCACTTGATCACTGTAATTATAAAAGGGAACAGAGAGTTGAACAATGACCTGGCTAAACCTGAGATGATGCTCCTCTCCGGCCAACTGGAGGCTCCCACTGACAAAGACAACAACGCCGCCACCGGTGGGCGACGACGGCTGAGAGTCGATGGTGCTGATGACGTGCCGGCATTCACCCAACGGCAGCTGGGTGAGCTTGGAACAGATTTCAGTGGCCCCAGCAATTTTCTGTCCCTCGAAGGTCAACATGGAGGTGTCCCTATAAAGAGAAGATAGTGAAGCCCTGTCATTATCAAACAAGTGGTAGTAATGATCCACAAATGCCCTTCCCACCATTTCAGCTGGTTCCTCCATTTTTTCTTAGTTCTCTACCTTCCACACACAATAAAGAGTTGCTAGATTTGATGCCTCACGGATCCTCTCTGTGTGTGTATATATATCCAAAACCAGAAATTTACAAGGTCGTGAGCTTTTTGATAAAGATAAGTTGCCATATGGGGAGTAATGCTCGGAAAGTGAAAAAGATGATGCAGCAACTGCTATTGATCTAGCGCAATATGTCCAATTTGCCACCTTTGTGATGTTGGGCAGAGCAAGGCTTCTATGGAGACTGAGGGGTAAAAGGGTAATTTGATTGCCCCAAACGCAGGAGAATCCGCTCTACTGTGTTTATACGCAAAGTTGGCTAAAAAGATAATGAAAAAAGTTGCCCTTTACTTAACAAAGTCTAGTTAGCATCAATGGCTAATCTATTTTACTTTAATGCTGTTATCGAATTTTAAGATGCAAAATTAAAAATGTGCCACAATGTTGTTGTGTTGTATCTAGGATTAATAGTCACTTTTGTCCTCAAAATATTCGAGAGGGAGCTGTGATTATCCAAAGCTTCTTTTCCTTAGTATATTTTTAAAAGTGTTTTAAAGAGCACAATGTCACCCTTTCTGTTACAAAACTACCATTAGCAGTTAAAAAATTAATATTGACCATTAAACTTTTTGACGGCAAGGGAGATATTGTTCTGTTTTAACACTTTTGAGAAGACATATTAAGCTAAAAAAAGCTTTCAGATATTCAAAAACCACAATAATTTCAGGGCAAAAATCACCTTAACCCTTGTAGTTTTTGAGGATAACTGGACCCAGGCGTTGAGAAAGAATGAAAGCAGAGACTATTTTAATAAATGTGGGGAGTTGAGGCGGGCGTGAAGGGAACGCTGCTTGTTGCATTTCAGAGAGCCGAAAGTATGGAATATGTTCCTTTTGTTCTCAAAGAAAGCAAAGTGTGAGTCACACCTGAAAAGCAGAACCCATAAAGGATTGGAAATGGCATGCATATGTGTGCTGTTCATCAGAACTGATGGTATTGTTAAGTTTCAGAGGAAATGGATTTAGTCAATAAGAAAAAAGCTGCAAAATTCAGCAGCATCCCAATGTTAAACTTATCCAGAGCCAAGTTGTGTATTCGGAGGATGTCATACCCTCCAACTTTCCTAAGCTGCAAGAAATTGAGGAATCTGAATCTGATATATTCATCTAAGTAAATTGAGGAATCTTATATATGTTTACTGGTGGTTTCCAAGAAGGAAGTGAAGCATGAGTTCATATAAATGGCGGAAATACCGAGTCTCAGTCACACACCCCATGAACTCAAGATAAGCAATTCTCATCCAACACCACACACAGCTAGCTTTTGGGAAAATTTCACAAAATAATGCCATAAAAGTGGTAAACCATATAAAGTAATAAATCAGTTACTACAAGATAAGTGAAAATAACAATGGACATTTGGTTCTACATGACGAATGTCATCAATAAATCTTAAAGTATCGGCTTGCAACGTTATCACTACTCTGATATATCAGGCTAATTAAGAGATGAGGATACTTTAGCTTGTTTATAAAGCTAAGACCTGATTGCTTTTGCAACTTGGTTGTGGCAATAAAGCAACGCCAAAAGCTATAAATTTCATAAGAATTCAAATTGTAGTTCCACATATTCAGTTCCCAGTACTGTATGACATGAAAAATTAAGAGTAAAATTCTTCAACGTCCATTACTTTTTCTTTTCTTTATATAGTTTGAGACTTTGGGTCATGGAATCATCTCCAATATCTGGGTATGATAATAAAACAATAAAAAGGTTATTGCAACACAAATTTTGGATTCTCCATAGGATAGAAGATATTGGTACAGGTGATACAGTACAGGAGACACTTCAGATTTTTGTCATGATAGAAAGGTAATATCAACCTTTCAGGGTAACTCCCACAGGTTTCCAATCTCTGTATGAAGATATTAGTTTATGACTTGCTCCTTTTTTAGCTTTGTTGTGTGTGATTCATCCTAATCTGTATGTTACTGTGTTAAGGACTCATTGTATGCCATGTTATATCTAATAAAAGTTGGTATGCTATAAAAATGAAAACACAAATTTTGGAAATGTCCGGACTATAGGCAGTCTTAACATTTGTAAAGAAAGCATGGAAGTTCAAGTAACAACAACCCTACAAACAAAGAAAATACTGAGAAAAACTAAACGTTCTTGTTTATAAACCTTTCAAGTTCAAAGTAATCAAAAGCATCCTGAGTTAAGCAATGAAATGAAGAATTCATAACCTAAAAACAATTCTCAAGCAAAAGGGAATAGTGTTGGGTTGTCCCTAATCTCTTCTCCAACTTGAAGGCCAATATCCATGAACAGCATAACCAGTCTTCCAATTTTTCAAGAACACCACCCATCTCACTGCCCAAAAACAGAACAAGAGCACAAAGATCATAATCATCCTCTGCGTCGCCATATTATTCACCTTCACCAGTTCTTGTGTTACATAACCCAATAACAGACCCACAGCTGTATAGAAGAACCCCACACAAAAACCTTCTAGCCCAAGTTGCATTCCTGGTCCCCTGTAGAATACTGTAAACTTCGATCTGTCATTTCGATCCATCCACCAAAAACAAAGGCACCTTCCTTATAAAGTTGTGCATCGCCCCTGAAACGCTAAAGAAGTACACCAACACCGCTCCAGTTAGCCAAACCTTCGGGTCATGAAAAAATGTTTGACCCGCAATGATCTTCTTCGAGAAATAGGGTAACCAGATCAAGAATCCGATTCCAATTAATATCAGTTTGTTTCTGGAAATGATAGGGGGTCGATGGATGGGACCCACAGTGAGGTCGCTCTTCATTTCGATGAATTCAGCCATGGATTCAGCGAGACGGGACCAATCTCCTTGATCAATCTGATATGACTCGTTAAGGCTTTGATGATAAGGGGCAACTATGCGAAGGTGAGGGAGGGCATCGACGCCGAATAGAGAGAAACTCGCTTTCGATTCTGTGTATTCGAGTTTGCAGAAGAACAATTTCGCGTATGAAGGGGAAGACGGGTGGTGATTGTTGTTGGCGATGTAGGAGGAAGCGACGAGTTCGAATTCACGGAGAATATCTTTGAGGCGGAGCTCGTATTTGTTATGGAGTAGAACGGCGTCGAAAACGACGATGACCCAGTAGGGTCTTGGGGTTTCGACGGAAGTGAGGAATCGAGAGATGGATTGATCATTGAGGTGAATTACACCGGATTTGGATCTGGATTGAAAGGCGAGAAGCTCGCGCACTCGATCTTCGTTAGATTCCGACAAAGCATTGAAGGAAATGAGAGAGCAGAGAGCGATGAAGAGCAAGAAAGACGGCCTTTTGGAAAATGGTGTCATCATCAGAAGGCAATGTTTCGAGGAAGTTACTCTGGGTTTTTCATGCATGCAAGCTGTAAGAACGTTAATATAGAGTACTACGCAGTACACACGAGGACTGAGATTGGCATCTACATCACGTGCGTGCGTACTTATATGAATTTTGCATGTGTAAAACTTGACAAAGTGCCACGACGCACGTGGTGTTAAACTGTTATACTCCTCCGATCCTTAATATAGGACCCAATTGTTGAGTTGTTTGGTCCTAAATATAAGACCCATTTATCATATTTTTCAATTTTCTCTAAATTACCCCTATAGATACCCTCAACCATAATCAAGTAGAAGAGGATAGGGGTATTAAGAAAGATGATTATGGTATTTTAAGAAAAATGGTCATATTTCTTATAATTAATTAACTTACCTAACTTCCTTAATCTAATCAAATTAGTTGAATGGTCTTATATTAAGGACCGGAGGGTACTCATGTCTTTAATATAAGACTTTATTTGATTTTAATTTTAGTCCTAAATATAAGACCTCAATCTATTTTGTCTCTCATATTTATACATTTTTTTTTCTAAAATAGCCCTTCTAATAATAAGAGTTCTAGTCAACACACTTGATTAGTAATGATATTTTAGAAAGACAACATCTATTTATGAACAAATAATTAACTCAACTTACTCTTTAATTTCTTCAAATTAGAGGTGGTACTTATTTTTGTCAAGTCATCATTAATTGGTGAATAAAGTAATTTACCTCGTTAATTAACCTTAGCTTCCCTTATAACTACACTGAGATCCGTCTTGCATGGTAAAAGTGTTATAATTTGTTTTTGTTGGGCTTATTGTCTTCGTTCTTGTTGTGGTAGAGGAATAAGCAGATTAAGAGCAATGATTAGAAACGGTGATTATTGAGCATGAAACCTCTGATATTACATCACCAATGTTTCTACAAGTTTCTAAAAGTTCACAGGATTTTATGCTAGAAGCTGATCATGCAAACCCAGATATTAAACGTTTATATGTCGGTTTATCTGGTTTAAGCCCTATCCTCAACATTTCATCATGCAGTTTCATGGCTTTTCTCAGCTCCTTCACTTTACATAGCTCACGTATCATGATTGTAAAACTCTCACTGCCAAGTAAATCCTGTCTTCTTATGTAGTTGAACACCTGAACAGCTTCTCCAGTCTTCCTCGCTACAAAAAGTCTATTGAGAAACACATTATAAGCCGCAACATCCAAAGTAGCATTTAGCTTCTCCATCTTATAATGCAGTTCAATGGCTGAGTCAACTTGTCTGCTATTGCAGTAGTGTTTCATTAATAAGCTACAGAAACTAGAATCAGGCACTATGCCTCTATCTAGAAGAGCTCCCAGCAAATCCTCTGCTTCTCTCCATCTACCTTTATTGCACAAAGATATCATACACTTGGACAAGTTTGATGAAGAAGGATCAAATCCTCTTCTTATAATGTCCTTCAATAGTTCAAAACCTTCCACTTCAGCACACTGATCTTCTTCACAGAGAAAATTAAAAAATGCTTGATAATTGCCATAGTCCAAAGCAAGACCTCTTTGAGAAGTTATAGCATATACCGAAATTGCTTCCCTGATTCTCCTCTCCTTGGATAGTGCTCTTAGCAGACACCCGTAAGTAACATCCTGCAAGCTATTATTCTCATCACAAGACCTTCTAAAGAACATTTCTGCAGCATATGTCTTGCCGATATCACTCAGTTTTTGAACTGCTAAATCATAGTTGAATGATGATGAGCACTTGGGAAGAAGTCCTTTCTCCGCCATTATATTGATTATCCTCTCTAGGACTTCAACATCATCAAGTTTACATGCTCCATCGAGGATTGAACTGTAAGTAACAAAATCAGGGGTGAGTTTCCTAGTACTCATTTGATTCAAGGCATCAAATGCAGACTTGAAGTCTCCTTTATCGCTATAACCACCAATGACAAGATTATAAATTTTCGAATCATAAATCCCAGAGTCTAACAATCTGCCAATCGTGTCAAACTTCCCATTTTTACTCAATATTTGAGCAACAATTGACAAAGTAGAACGACCAAGTCTATAGCCAAAGCGAATCAAGGCACCATAGAGACACCAACCCAGCTGAACCTTGTTCTCTCTCTGCAAAGCATCAAGAAGCGCATTGCAGGATCGAACTGTCGGAGTACAGCCATGAAGCCTCATCAACCTAAATGCCTCTAAACCTTCCATTAAAAGACCCTTTTGCGAATAACGTTCAATAACAAAACTTAACAGAACAGATAATGAATCTCTACTTGTACCTTTACTTGCTGTGACCATAGTCTCTGCAATAGCAGATGCAGGGTATTCCCGAATCAGTGAATCCACGAGGGGTTTTGCAGGTGGATAAAGACCAGAACCAACGGCGATTCGAATGATATGACAGTGGGATTTGAGATCAGGCTGGAACCCTAGAGTTGATTTGGCCCAGTGGAAGAAGCCCAGTGAGGTTTGAGGGTGAGTTTGGATTTTGAGGAGGATTTGGAGGAACAGAGAAGGGGTTAGTTTGGAGTCGAGATTGAGGTTGCGGAGGAGGGACACCCAATTGCGTCTCTGCAAGAGAGTGGATGAGATTTGGGAAGCGAGTTGATTTTGCTCGATTTGGGTCCTCCAGTTGCGTGAAGTGGCGAAGGATCTGAAGAAATTTTGAGACTTGGGAAGATACATCTGAGGCCGCGCTCTGTTGCATCGATAACATTACGAGGGGGGACGGAGGAGGGTCAAGGGATTGAAATTTTTTTTTTTTTTGAATTACTTCACCCCGAATCCCAAAGCCTTCACTATGTCACAGGAAACTCAACAACTAATCCAGATTCCGGCATTCCGCCATGGCAGGACCTCAAAGATGACTAGCCTCAAACAAGGGATTGAAATTTCGGAACAAACCAAAATTGAAATATTGTATCACCAGAATTACTTCAAGATAGGTGTTTTCCCCCGAACATCCAAAAAGGCTCATAGTTTATAATAAAGTCCAAATTCTCTTGAATGAAAACCTCAATCCTTTATAATTACTCTTCTAGTATTAAATATAAGATCTCTTTTATAATATAATTTACACTATAATAGAGATTTTATATTTAGAACTGGAAGAATAATAATTAACACTATGCAAATCAAATAATTTCTTTATATCAAGAGGATCTGAATTTAAATTTAAGTTTCTAACTAGTTTTTTTTAACTAACTTCTGCATTCGTCTAAATACTGACTACTGGGCATTAGTTCAGTTTTAGCAAAGGACACCTCGTGTATGCTTAGATAAATCCACCAGGCATCACAATCTCTTTGGTATTTCCTCCATTATAACCAAGTAACATAACAATTATTGTTCATTTACCGTTCCCCTTGATCATTTGAATATGATTCGGTTATGTTGAACATAGTCATTCAGCGGTTCCAGTGTTGCACTGCTTATACCATCATCATTTCTAGCTTGGTGCGATTAAATTTACTGGCCTTCAGTTTGGTTATTCGCCGCCACTCAATATAACTTTCTTTGATTGTTTCTCCTTAGAATCAAGGGTCACTCATCATGAATTACATTGAGTTTTATACAAATGTTCATAATCTTGCTCCCACTTTGCCCTGTTTCATATAGATATTTCTCTCATAGTCTTCGAACACAGATCTCCCTCATCATGAAAGCACAATTTCTAACTGCGTGGCTCACGCCATTTAGCTCTAAACGACATAAAGTTTCATACATGAGGTTTTTGCGCCCCCGCACTTACCAGATAAAAGTTTGAATGCGAAGTTTGAGATTTCTAACCAATCAAAAGGAAAAAATTTGGAGAAACGGAGCTTCACAAATCAAAACATGCTGAGGCGTACTCAAAACACAGCAGACAAGCAAATCAGTTCTTCAACTTGATAGAAATTTCACAATTTCCAAAACATTCAAATTCAGATAATTATATGCAAAATGAGTTGTAGGCACCGATAGACGCAAGCCGCCGGAAAATCAAAGCAGATTGCACGGAAGGTGACCCTTTTGAAAAATCAAAAGCTTTTGATATCAGAGAAGGGTCTCTGAAAAAGCCAACTCGTATGCCATTTTCCTCTTCTCCCCTTCTCATGATCATAAGACCAACATTAAAAGCATAAAATAAAAATGTGAGAAGCTCGGTAAGCAGATTTATCGACAGAGATCCAAGAAAGATCTCACAACAACCGGCCAGTTAGCTTCTTAGATCGGTTTGATTTGGCTACAGCCGCTATGGCACATTCAAGAACAAGGGCACTCAATTTGATCTCTCCCTTCCCTTGGTACATGTAGCCTTCATTCACATCATGAATCCAAGTATTCAAAAACCACTAGTCTAAAATAACTTAAATATTTGCAAAGAATGAGCAAGCAGTGAAATTGATTTGTGGGCAAGTTCCTGGAACTGCAACCGAGGAAAAATTCAACACCCCCAAATAACTTGCCTTCGTGTAAAACAAGAAAAATGAGAGACGAGTCTGACGCTCAAGCTTCGCCCCCCGAACCAGAACGCTGAGAGGGAAAGCTCAAGAGCCCATTTTATAGGATGTTTTCGTAAACCCTAGAATCATGACCCTTCAGCCCATGAATTTGATCAAATCATGGCCGTCCAAACTCATTCGGAGGTCATATGCGGTTTTTTCTTTTTTTCAGCAAGTTTTTTTTTTTTTTCTTTCCTTTTATTTATTGATTTTTAATTAGTTTTAACTATTTAACAAGATAATAAAACTGAAAATTTTCTCTTTCATTATTTATTTATTATTTAATATACTAATATTTATCAATGATTTTTTAATACAAAAATTTTTTTTCCCACATTACATCTATAATTTTAAAAAAAAAATTTAAATCTCAATAGTTGTTATTTTTATTTATAAATTTTTTTGGTATATTTAAGACAAACTCAGCCTAATTGTTCGGGATGCAATTACTTCAAATGCCAATTGCATTCCCAAAAATACCCCAATGTTAATATCAAATAAAAAATAGAACTTTCATTTTAGGAGTCTTTGTGGTAATTGGTTGGTATGATGTAAGAAGAGAAACTACATCGATGTTTATTTATTCACTATTTCCACCTTGACATGCTCTGATCAAACGCTAATATGTGTAATAGAGCACATCTCATTATCAGGACTTATTTTCAGCTGAGTTTGCTTTGAGCTATGTCAGTTCTTCCCTTCCCCTGTTTTTCAGATTATCCCTGAACGGGTTTCGGCCTACAATAACATCATGGATGCAAGCTCATTGACACGAAGCCCAAAAGGCAGAAGCCGGAAATTTCCCGCTTAGGACTTAGAACGAGCATATCATCCAAAAGGCGGAAACATCAATATATATATACAAACTCTTCCACCAAGCCACTCTCAAAATGGCTTAGCATTGGCTCCACACCCAAATCACTGTTCACAAGCCACTAAATTCTTGTCTTGGGCTTCGTGTATTGTGGCTCAATTAAGTGGCTGCGTGCAGCATTGTTTTTTTTTTTTTTTTATGCGCTCGTGCAGCATTGTTTTAAGAGGCTTTGAAATGTAATCAAACAAAGCCATTGAAAATATTTCTCTTTCTTGCTTTTTTGAACATATAAAAAATGTAAAACTAGAAATATTATTTTTGAAGGATGTTGAAGATTATTTTTTAAATTATAGATTAGTAAATTATTAAAAAAAATCTTAATACTATCTTTTATTATTAATATAATTTTATAAAATCTTATTTTGTAAATTTATTTTTTATGAATCATTGAAGATTATTTTTACAAATATTCATGCTGGTAAAATTTTTTTTACAATTATTCACTATTCTTATAAGTATCATTTAAAATAAAATCTTATAAAGTTTTCTATTATTTGTTATAATCTAATAAAATTTTAATTTTTAAAATTTATTTTTAGAATCCATGACAAGAATTATTATTATCAAATATATAATTTTTTTATGTAACTTTAAATAATCAGTTCTATTGTGAAAAATAAAAAATATCAAAGGTGGATATTAAGGGAAAAAAAATATAAAACTTCCATCCTATTTCAATTTTCATAAGACGATTTGAAATCAATGGAGAAAGAAATTTTTAATTTTCACGACACGGCTTGAAGCGGGAGAGAGAAGCTGCTGTCATGAAGGCTGAAACAACGGAAAAGGTAGAATAGAGTGAAGCAGGGCATTCATCATCGCAGTGATGCAGAATTGCATAAGGCTGAATTGCAGGTGGCGCAGAAACATGAAGATGGAGAAGAGGACAATGAACTCTAGATTCAAGAGAGCATATATTTCCATTTTGGGTTGGTCCTTGATGCAGGCAATGTTCCATTCAAATACAAAATTCAAAATCATTTGACTAGCCCTCCTTCAAGAGTTCAAGCATCAAAAATGAAAGAAAGATTTCAAAAGGTGCTCTCCCCTACATTCTCATCTCTCTAATCCTACGGTTTTCAAATTTTGAATTTTGAATTCGGCGTCTCATACATTTAAACCCGCTCCCCTGACATTGAATCTCACCTGGTTTCCCTCCATCGGCTTTTCATCGATTTTCTCTTCCTCCACTCTCTCTTTTCACTTGATGGCTCCTCGATTCATTCCATCAATGATCTCCATGATTCATTCCTAGCCCAGCGGCTGTGATGCTGCCTTCATCCTTCATATTCAAGCGCCAAGAGTCCCCATATCCAACCAGTTTTGAAGGGATGACTCTAGCGTAGAGTTGGTGGTTTCTTCTGCTGCATAAGGTTAAGACACAAAGATGGCGACCTAAATCGAGGAGCATCACTTTCTCCCTCAGAGCTGACCATTGCTCCCTTCTTTTCCCTTCCCGGAAGCCCTTTCCCCTCGTCCTTGCCTCAGATTCGTTTTCCTCATAAAGTTAGCAGCGACAAACCATGGTGGGTGGCTCTCATACTTTCTGAAACATCTATGTTCATTTATTTGGCTTCCAATATCAATTTGTTAGTTGTTAAATTTTTGTGTTTTCTGTTATTTTATAATAAGTTGTTCTGTCTCTTCGTAACACAGAGGAGTGCATTTGCCCTATTGCATGGTGGAGGATATTTCTATCGGTTACCAAAGGTATTGGCTCATTTTTTTGGCACATTATTGTCTAAACCCCACTTACTTGCAGAGGTGCCGAGATTTTACTAGGGGCCTCCTCCTCCAAAGGTGGAGTTAGAGGAGTTGAGTTTCTTAAGATGAGTTTCTTGAGAGTATGCAGCTAGGTTAATTACATTGCTCTCTTTCTGTAATAGTGCATTTGCCCTTAATTCAAAACATTTACTATTTCTTTAAGATCTTCATAATTTGTTCGGAAAAAAAATGAATGTGCAGGCATACCATAACTGTCTTGGTGAAGCTGAAGCTAGCAGATAAATCCAGCAACTTATTGCTTCAGCAAGGGAGTCTATTAGAGATTTAAGGGTATGCATACACTGGGACCTTGGGAGCTTCTGATTATCCTTATGACTTTCAGTTATTGATTGTTATTTCTGCTCTCTGCAGCTTGAAAATTTATTGCTAGAGTCTCCAAGAAATATAAAGATTTCAGCTTTGGGGCTTCAGACTATATAGTCCAAGGGGTAAAGTTGAAGTTGGATCTGGTGCTCAGTCACAAGGGTTGCAATGGAGTAACGAGAGATGTTGGGTCTTGTGAGGTTATTCTATATGTTTTGACTGCTGGATATCTACCCTTTGATTAACTGGATCCAACTACCTTTTATAGTAAGCCATGAACTTAAACATTCAATTATATATACTATTAAGAGAGTTGATCTCCCGGGTGCCTTAAACATAACAGAATTGAACCACTTCACCTATCATTTTCTTTGTTTCTTTTTTCCTATTTCGAATTGTTTAGCACATAATTTCCCTCAATTCTCATTTTCATTTGTTTCCTAAAAGAGTTTCACCCTCTTTAGTTCTGCATTATATGTATTATGTTCTATTCTCCCTCATGCTGGGTTATCAATGTGTACATAACCATAGGTTAGGAGGTTGTCAAAGAATCAAACGGACATTGATGATCTCTTCATGATCACACCTATCAATGGGAAGAGCAACGTGGCTATCTTGTGTAAATGTTCCTTATTCAATGACTCATGAAAAGCCCAGTTGGTCAAAAGTTCTCTATGAAGGTGTCATATAATATTCTATGGAATAACAACGCATCTTCAAAGTTTGGAATAACAACGCAAAAGTTCACAGGATTGGAGCGGTGCTCTCATGTAGGCATTTTGGCTGCAATGGTAGGCTGTTAAAATATGGCAAATGTTGATGGCAGGCACTGCAAATTAAAAGGAGCCCTTTATGTTTCTTCTTTTTATCTCTAAATTGAAAGGATGGATCATGTTGATAACAATGTTAACAGCTACTTTTTTCTTTTAGGGCAAAAGTAAGATTTTTTTTTTATTGCATATGTAGTTACGATAATATAATCTAATGATTTTTCCCCCTATTCATCAGTCCTTTGCCTTCAAATCACGATTTTATTGGTTATGATACAATCTAATGACATCCATCACATGGGTATCAAATCACTTTAACAATATTATAGTTATGCGTGGTAGTGAAAATGAGCGTTTGAAGTTTGTAACCATTACTGTTAACAAGGAGACATTGTTATCATGTTGAAAGAAATTCAAGAGATTTGTTTTTATTTTAAGATAATATTTTTAACTTGAAAGGTATAAGTTCTTTTTGTACTTAAAATAAAAATAAAATAGCTTCATATATCCTTACATAAATTAATACACTGCTTTACTCGATTTCCTTATCTAACCTGGTCTTTGGGCATTCAGGAGTTTGTTTCTCCAAAACAATAAATACATTCAAAATCTTCTTGTCACTAGAATTATCTCCGATGGAAAAAATACTTAATTGTGTGTAACGAGGAAAAAAATCTTCTCATCAAGTTCAACCTTTAACACTCATCGAACATTTTTTGCTTAAAAAAAACACCAAACTTGGTGGCTGCCCCATCAAAAACAACCAGGGTAAAGTGAGTTTCATGCAAGCAAAAACCATGCGGACCATATCCATCTGGTAACTAGAAACACAAAGGAATGTGACGTTAGAAAAGAAATCATGCTAATAAACTTCCCCTTAATTATACTTACCCTATACTATGCAGCCTCCCTTATCATCAGGTCATAGTTACTCTTTACGCATATATAGCAAAGACCATTTTGTCTTCTTATTATTCATCCTACATTATGTGTGCTATAATATTTTTATAACTTTGAA